GGAGGCTAAGGCAGGAGGACCTCTAGTTGAGGCCAGCCTCAGCAAACTTAGCGAGACCCTGTCTCAAATGGATAATACAAAGAGCTAGGGATGCCGGCCAGTGGTAGGGCACCCCTGGTTCAGGCCCCCGTGCCACAGAAAACCACAGATTTTCTTCATCTGCTCATGGTTTCTGCAGGTCAGGAGTCTGAGCAGAAGGCCTTGGCGGAGGCCCCTGTAGCCAGCCACATGCAGCCAGAGCTTAGCTTCCAGGGGTCTCCAGTGCAGGCCGACGGGGTTCCCCACAGCAAGGTGGCCTCAGGCCCTGCGTTCACAAGGAAGTACGGCAGAAGGAGGCTGCCTTTTCTGAGTGGCTGGGAGGACCGTGACATCACTCCCACCAAATCCGATTGGCCACAGGCTCCCTGTCACTCAGGGAGAGGAGAATCAGACTCCACCTCTAGATGCAGGATGGCCAGGTGCTGAAACCAGAGCTCTGTTGGTGACACCACCTGTCTGTCATTACTCATTTAGCCCTCACCCAGTGCCAAGGGCCACTGGTCACGAACTCTCACACCTACCTGGAGGGTGGAACTGCTCCTGCTAACAGACCCTGGGGACTGCAGCCCAGCTGGGTCTAGGGACTTCTGCCTGCTGTGACACATGGGGGCAGGGCGTGGGGGTGGAGAAACATCTGATGGTGAGAGAGGGTCCTGCGCTGGGCACTGCTCTGGGGACCTGCCATACGGGAACACGGTTATTTGGTTGAAGCACCATGGGACGAACAGGAGGTCCAATTTAGCAGTGCACTAGTCTCGGAGGGGTAGACACAGGCCTGCCCCAAATCGGGTTTCAAGATGAAAGACAAAGACGCGACCCGGGTGGGCGAGGGGCGGGAGCCCTCCTGTGCCAGGCCACTGGCCCCGCGTGTGCAAGTACTCACCCTGGGAGATATTCAGAGGGCTGCAGGGACTAGCAGTGCCCTGGGAACAACTGATAACCACCAACAGGAGACCAGACCAGAAATGGGGCCTCACACAGGGTGAAGAAGGACACGCCCCTGTGTCGGGACAGAGGGCAAGGTACAGAGAGTACCACTGGAGTCACACAGCTACTGGGAGAGTCGCACACCGAGGCCTGAAACGGCGTGGGAGGCTCAGCACGCGTCTGGCTTTGCTCCCTCTCGCCTACAATAATGAAAACTTGCAACAAATCTGGGAACACTTGTGTCTCTAGGGAGTCAGAGAGGTCATGGGCACCCTGTCTCCATACCCACGGCGTGGTGAGGCAGGTTTGGGGGTGATCCTCCGTGGGTCCCCCAGGAGACTCTCAAGCCACACCTGCTCAGTGTCAGGGCGCTCCCCACGAGCCGTCCCTTCAGGCTCTGCACTCACCTAGAGAGGCTGGGTCCCTGCCGGGGACTGACAGCCTCTGAGGTCTCAGACATGGGCATGAGCGCTACATGGAGGAGATGCCCACAGGCCCTGCTCCCTGATTCTCAAGGTTAGACTCCTGTTTTGATGGAAGTTACACGGTTTCTGCTTCTCACAAGTCACAGGATATACACTCACTGGGTAAGAGTATAAGTCAAACATAGAAGAAGGGGAAAAAAAGAAAGAAAAACCTCTTTCTCCTTCCAATCCATCCCCCAGGCATCATTAAACTTTGGTGTATATTTTCCCACCAATTATGTATCACCGAACACATCCACTCTCTCTCCTTTCTTTCCCCAAATCCTTTTGCCACCGGGTTCCTCTGGGGCTCGAGGTGTGCCGGTTGTAGATCTCCTACCTGCAGCAACTGCAGGGAAGGGTTGTGTCGGAAGCGATCCCAAGAGTCAGACACTGGTTATTCCTGACTTTCACTCTACAAACCATCCCGATGGTTAGGAGAAAAGAAGTCCTGCAGGCGGAACTAGTGCCCATCCTCAGCACGGCCACTGCCACCCACCTGGTGCTCTTCCAGGGCTTGGGGCTGTCCAAGCCACCCCTGGCCTTTCTGTCCACAAGCTTCCCAAATTCCTCACTCCGGCCATACAACCCCCATATTTCTTGAGAGAATAAATAGCAGTATTCACAATTCGGCTGAAAGGAGGTTCACCAAGTCGTAGCAGGAGAGGGTCATTACCTAGGGTAACAGGCTGGGCCAAGGAGCATCCCCACACCTGCCCCTCCTCACCTGAGCACCAGCAGCTGCTCACCTGCGAGCTGGACCTTCGCTACAGCTGCGCGGGCCCCTCTCCACCGGCCCCACCTCACCAGAGCGCTAGTCCATCTCCACACCCGAGGGAGCATCCCGCTCCCAACAGCGCACCCCCACCAGGGCCGACGACCCGCTCACCTGCGCGCTCTCCTGGGCACTCCAAGACGCCGGCGCGGCAGGTCTCCAGCCAATCCCGCCCGCGCGCTGGACGACTCCGCAGCCCCCCGCCCCCAGGCGACATATTGCGATAGGCGACCAATCAGAGGCGGTGCGTGTGCGGCGGGCGTCCCCGAGCTCCGCGATTGGGCGAGGCACCTGAGCTGACTCCCGGCCCACCGCTCCGGCCACTTGGCGGCTACGGGCGCGAGATTGACGGCCCCGACCGCCCGCCTTCGCCCCGCCCAGGCTCCGGCCCCGCCGGCTGGATTGGCTCCGCGGGGCTGCGAGCGGGGGGCGGTCACCTGGCCCGCCGGGGCTGGGTCGCAAAAAGGGGCGGGGACTAGCGGGACGGAGCCCGGAGGCCTCGTGGCCGCGGGTCGGCCGCGCGGCGTGCGTCTCCCGGTGCCTGGGTGTCTTCTCTGCAAGGATGCTCCACGCTTTCGAGCTCGGCGTGACCAGCAAAGAGCAAAACGGGCCCAATTCCTGCTCTTGAGCTCACCTTCTGGGGGAGCGGAGGGGACATTTTCCTATGTTACCAAAATGAAATGACCAATACACCGGTGTCCAGAGGTGAGAAGTGGCACCGAAAAGTCCAGCCGTGTAAGAATCCAGGGGGACAGGGCAGCAGCTTTACTTAGGGGTCTCCGGGCGGACTGGCGGGCTGTCACGGGGAGACGGAGCTCCGAGTGGGTACTTATTAGGGATCACACAGGCGCCCCCGCTAGGAGCAGCAGGCAACAGCCCAGACAGCGCGAGCTGAACCTTGTGGTCGACCCCGGCGGAAACTGCGGCGAAGAAGCCCCTAGAATTGCCCTGATGGTCTGGGATGGCCATGCCATGTGCTCCTGCCGCCACCAGTCCCTGGATGCAGGCCAGTCTTGCCAAGGCGAGACAACCCCTGGAGGGGTCGGCAGCTAGGCGACAGACATTGGAAATGGGGTCTGTCAGGTCCTTCACCGAGCTCGGCTTGTTCCCCTCCGCAGCGTGAACACAAGTTGGGACTTACGGTGAACCCCCTGTGGCCGGGTGCAGGAGCTGTGAAGTTTGCCACACTTCGTTCATCTCACTTAATTCTTTGTGCGTGTTTTCTATTTCCCCCTTGAAATATTAGTTAGCTGAAGACACCATGATACTCTTAGAAACAGGGACCGATTGTCGGAAATCAAGCACTTGCTAAAACTGGATTAGCAAGGCACAGTTGTCCTGGTGCTGAAGAGTGCGCCCCCTAAGGGAATTCCAGAGCAAGCACACGTGGGCGGGCAGGCTGCCAGTTTTACCCCCAAGGAAGCACTACCTGTGGCTCTGATAGGAAGAGTTTGGGGGTACAATCTAAGAGATTCACTAATTTACAATTGGGGAGGGCGTGGAAAAGAGCTACAGTTGTGACTACATATCCTATTAGGGAATTTAAAAATGGCTCCATCTGCCCACACGGTTCCCTAACCTAAAGTGACTCCATTAAACACATAATCAATTTTCTAGGTCCTTTATGGGATGCACACCCAGAAAATGGCAGTATCGGTATGATCTGAGGATAGACTTCTTGGCCTCCTGCTGCCAAAAGTCAGCTATCAGACAGGCTGAAGTGAAGAGTCAGTGATTTCAACAAAAACAGCCTTCGAGTCCCTGAAGAGTCACCCCGGCAACCATCATTGTAATCCCATGTCAGAGGTGTTGTCTACAGCAAAATAAGCGGGAGGCTAATCATTGCCCAGCTCTGTGACCTCCAGCACTGGTGATTTTTAAAGTCAACTAAAAGCAAGTAACTAAGGGGCAGCATAGGGCCTCCCAGAAAAGTAGAAAGGACAAAGGGTTGATTTGTATAGAAGAGGGGAGGCCAGCTGTGCTCGCTGACCAGCAACAATAAAGTTAGGATCCTGTCCTCCCTTGGAGTCTCAGACACTGAGATCTTATTCTGTTGATGGTTACATTCTTGAGAACCATCCCAGGTCCTTGGGAGATGCTCTGAGCTGCAAAAGACACACGTTTACCATTGTGAGCTGCTCTTATAGTCAATGCCTGGCAGGTTGTTAGGGTCCACCCATCAACGGCTTGGTATTAAAACCCCCTCATTTTCTGAGGCAGCGAGCCCTGCGTTAGCCATGTTGGCTGCAGATACTGAGCAGAAATTTGAAGGAGCAAAGGAAGCAGTCCCTTTGATTTGGGGGAAGAAAACTATCCCACGGAAAGAAGTTGGGACTAAATGAACGCATACAACATTCCTGTGCTTTTCTGGAGTCTCCAAATTGTTAAGAACAAGCATTACTTTAAAAGTGCAAAAAGTGATTTTAAAAAAATGTGAAATAAGTACACATGGGACAGAAGTAGCTTTGGAACACAGAAGGGAGGGACTGAGGATCCCAGCGATGACGGAGGCAATTAGTTAGTTATTCACAGGGGGAAAAAGGCATTCCGGCCCTGGGTGCACAGACAAAATGAAATGGAAGACTGCCAGTAGGACTCGATACAGGCACCTGGAGAAGAGGTGTAGTGTGGTTCATAAAGATGAACACGTTCACACCCTGCTACTCAGCAAAGCGCTGGAGAAACTGGCCCGAGTCTGCAGAGACCGCTGTGGCGGAAACAGCAGCTATGGGCAGGCTCGCATGTCAGCAAAGTGCTGCAAAGTAGATGCCCATTCATTTCTGAGTGGACACACTGGGCTTTATTCCTACGATGGATTACCAAACTGCAGAAAAATGATCAAAAGGATGTATCTAACCTAACGGGGAGAAACCAATTACAGAATCACGTTAAAGTGTAGTTTGTGTACAGTTTCAGAGAAGCAAGGCAGATCTTCCTGGTGTAGGGTCACCTAACGCTGGGTTAGGGAGGAGAGCGGGATCCGGAGGGACAGACACGGCCTTCGGAGTGCTGTGGGTACACGGAGGCGGGGAGGCGCGGTGTGAGCCTCGCCCAGGCTCCCGGCAGCACTGACAATGCAACATTTCTGGCACGGAGCGGGGGTTATAATTTTCACGTTACCTAAGTTGGCTAAACAGCGAACTGGGAGGATCTTCTGCTGCGCAGGCGCATCCGAGCTCCGCTGTGGGCGGAGCCTGCCGCGGCGACTCTGCAGGTCTCTGGCCCGTGATTCGCCGACCCGGGCAGGGGCGTGGCCTGCCGCAGCGGTTCTTCAGTTCGGACCCGTGATTGGTTTGAGGGGCGGTCCGCGGCGGGTCTCGGCGAGGTCAGGGAGGGGCGGTCCGGAAGGGCACGCGCCGGGGCTGGCTGTCGAGCTTGGAGGACAGTGGGACCTGCCGCCCTCCGGCCGGCCTCCCTACTGAGTGACTGCGGCCACGATGGGCCGGAAGGTGACCGTAGCCACCTGCGCCCTCAACCAGTGGGCCCTGGACTTCGAGGGCAATTTACAAAGAATTTTAAAGAGTGAGTCTGGGGGCGGCGGGAGACCGGAAAGAACAGTCCAGCCGCGCGGGTCTCGTCCCGCCGTGCGCACTGCTTTGCCCTGGAGAAACTCGCAGCCGTAGAAGTGGGGACAGATAGGACAGTGGATGGTGAACTCGTCAGTGTCAAGTGCCCAGATCCTCCCGGTTTGTGGGGAGGGGGGGACACGTTGAGGCACAAGTTGAGAGAAGTCTGCCCCAGAGGTGGAGGTGGGGAGGATCGAGGGTGCACCTGCCTTCAGATGTCTCTGGGGTCCCGGTGGCCAGGCTGGGCAGAGCTGCCCATCCGCCAGGTTGGAGGGGTATGTGGCCACTGGCCAGGATGCTGTGCAGACACCAGAGATGGGAGGGTCTCTGGTCCCAGAGGACCTTCCTGATGGGTGGGCGTTGGGAAAAGCCTTCCTGAGAGGGAAGCAGAGTGAGGGGAGGGCTGTCAGCTCAGAGAAGAGTGGCTTTTGAGTGGTCACTGTATAACTGCATTCAGGTAAGCCTGTGCCCAAACTGGGGCTGATGAAGGCAGGTGTGGTCACTCCAGTGCTTCAAGTGATAACATAATACTGGCTTTTTTTTTTTTTTTTAAATCCATGTATCAACCTCCTTTCACTTCCTCAGAGCAGATCTCAATGGGGTGAGTGAGGCCATCTTAGGTATATAGAGTGGTCTCTGCTCCACTGTCCTCTCCTTCCTTCCTCCCATGACTTCACATGGGCAGCTGCTCCTGAAGCCCGATGCTGGCACCACCTCGGTCACCAGCCTCTTCTTGCAGCTGGTCTTGGCACCCACTTGTCCATGAGCTTGCAGGGTGTGACTTCCTCCTCCTCTGTGGGGCCAAGGGTCAGCCTGCAGGCCCTCCCTGTTTCTCCTTTCCTGCACGTGGGCAGGTGTGTGCTGGTCTCTGCGGCCTTGCTATTTACAGGAGAACTGGCCACGAGGGATCAGGACATCACAGAGGAGTGATTTTTCAGCCACACCTACCGCAGCAGCAGGCTTTTTCTGCCTGTGGACGGGTTGTAGGAGTGAAATTGCCCCCTTCTCTGTACATACAGGTATTGAAATTGCTAAAAACAGAGGAGCAAGATACAGGCTTGGACCTGAGCTGGAAATCTGGTGAGAACACACCCACAGCCCGGCGGGCAGCCAGTGGTCTTTCCCACTGAGAGGGCAGGAAGCAGTGGGACCAACCAGGGCTGCAATGCCAAGCCCACTTAGGAGGCTGTCAGGAACCTGCTTGTGGATGGGGTTGATGCCACTGGACACCTGAATGAGAGAGGCCCAGGGACGCTGGTGATTCCAGACTCCTGCGTGGTCCTGCATGGAGTCATTAGAGGAACCCAGCTTTACCAGGTGGAGCTGACTTTAAAACTGGGGTGCACCCGGTCACCCGTGCGCTTGGGCTATGGTCTCAGCGTCCGTGCTCCCCCCCCCACTATTCACATGTTGAAACCTGAAGCCTGGGGCATGGTGTCTCAACCTGCGGAACACACATTGGCCATGGTCAGTGGGATCGCTGCCCTTATAAAAGAGGCCTGAGAGAGCCTGTTTCCCCCACACCACGTGAGCCCCCTGGAAGTCCAGAGCAGCCCTCTCCAGGACGACTCCAGGAGTGTGCGCGGGGTGCAGCTGGGTTCTGCTGTGTGTCAGTCACCCAGTCTGGATGCTGTGCTGTGGCAGTCATGGTGACTAAGACACCACGGGTCTTGGTTTGCACGTTGGCCACAGGGATTCTGTTGCTGGTCTCAGGCTTCCCGTGGGCAAGCTCAAAGGCTGTGTCCTCTACACCTTTTTGCAAGAATCAAGAAAATGGATCCTTGATTCTTTTCTGGTGTCTAGTTAAAACATAATGAGAGGGTCACTGGCTTGTGAGCCCCTCACCAGCTGCGGTTCTTTCTGACCTGGACCCCGGGCCTCTGCGCTGTGCTGGCTTCACTTGTCCTCGGGGCCCCTGTGGAATCTGGAAGGCCGTCCGTGCCCTGGTCCCTTTCCTTCACTGGCTCTGGTTTCTGGACCTGGAGGAAGCAGGCACTGTGCTCTCTCAGGTGCTGTTGGGTGGTTCTAAGGCAGCTTTCTGTCCTTCCAAGTTCATTTGTTAATCAGGTTAAGGTTTTGATGACTTCACGTGGCCCTGCTCCTCCCAGACCACCCCAGGAACTTACACCCCTCCTTTAATTCTGAAGAATCTAACTACCAGGGACCTGGGACTCACAGTCACCTGAGGCCATGTGGCTTCTGCTCCTGAGCTCCTGACTTGGCCCACGTGCCTGTTGCTCCTTTCCCTGCCAGGTGCAGTGCAGCCCCGTCCTCCGGCCTGACCATTGCCAAGGAGGATTCTAACCAAGACCCCCCGGGTGCTGTGTTTGTGTTGGGGGTTCACAGCATTCTGAGCAGGCTTCCCTTCAACATTTGCCTTGTTGACAAAGAGGAGGGTGACTCGGGCAGGAGAGGAGCCCGGTCACTTCATCAAGCCCCACTCTTGTTCTTATTGGCCTGGGGTCCAGCTCCTGTGTGGGATATCCGGGAACAGAAGGTGGACAGCTGATTCTGGACCTAGGGCTCTCACCTGGAAGGGCGGCTATTTTCTCTGAGCTGGCCTTGCCGATGGAAGGTCATTGGCCATCTGGGTCCCAGGCACTAACTGACCAGCCGCTGTCATACAGGGCTCCTCCAGCTGCTGGCCAGCTGAAGGGGTGCAGTCACTGGTGGCTGGCCACCTGGCATTAGACATTCCGTGTTGTCACCCACAGGCCTGGGGCCGGGCCCTGGTGGCTTCTCCTGATGCCGCTCTCATCTGAGCCCAGGCAGGGGCAGGAGAGGCTTCCCCAGGGTTAAACGCAGCAGGTGCCAGATGTGGATTTCTGTGGCACGTGCCCGGTCGGCTTCCAGGCTGCTGCAGGGCAAAAAGGCAGAGGTGTTGGGGATTCGTACGGATAGTCTGCGTTTTACTGTTAGAAGGTCCTTGGAAGCATTCCTCACAGTCTATGCACCATGGAGCACGGCGTTAGTGTCCTGGGCTGCCGAGACCAAGTGCCACAAATGGAGTGTTTTGAGATGACAGAAATGCATTCCCTGGCAGCGGAGGAGCCCAGGAGGCCAAACTCGAGGTGCAGCAGAGTCTCGCTCTCTCTTTAGGGTCCTGGAGGGTCCTTGCACTGCTTCAGCCCCCCGGGGCTCTGCATCCTTTGGCCTGTGGCCACTTCACTGTCTCTGCCTCCCTTTGCATGGCCTTTCCCTTCTCTGGTCTCGCTCTTGTCCACATCTATAAGGACACTGGTCATTTAAGGAGACCCAGGAAAGTCCAGGCTGACTGCATCCGAACACCTTGACTCCACTGTGTCTGCAGAGACTCTTTCTCTGAAGCGAGGCCGCAGGCACAGGCCCCGAGCTTAGGATGTGAGAGACGTTGGGGGCCACCGTCCAGCCCACAGCAGGCGGCTGAGTGGTCGTCCATGGTCTTCCTTGGCAGATGTTTTTGGCAGGTCCACCTTTGTTTCTTTGGGTTCTTTCCTTGAAGGTCAGGTGACTTGGGCCACTAAAGGGCAGGCGCTCCTCACAGTAACCAGGAATCTCCCGTGAATGGCCTGGTGGCTGTGGCAGGGCGCCTGCTGCTGGCTGCGAGCTGGACGTGCCTGGGGGCTTGGAGAGCTGGCTTGGGCCTCCACTGCTGACGCCACCCCTGCCCCTCCCTGCAGTGGCTACGGGTGTTGGGACCACTACTACGAGTCGGACACCCTCCTGCATTCGCTCCAAGTGCTGGCGGCCCTCCTGGTGTCTCCGGTCACCCAGGACATCATCTGTGA